TATACTGAGATTAGAGTACTTTTTAAATTTTATGGTTCAATTTTGAGGGCATTAGCTACTCCCTACTACAGAAAAATTAAATTGCTTATACTTCCTTCTCCCCACCCCACCCACTCTATTTTGTCAACTATATATAGTGTTTATTCATTGTTGAGGTCTGTAGCATTTATATTTATATTCTGTTCCATAACTATAATTCTCATAGTTATTATAGTCTTTATTTTTCTTTTAAACCAATTATGTGCTCATCACCAGAACTTTTGGCACAACTTCGTATCTGAGTTCTTTGTTTTGATCTATCTGTTGACTACTAAGATTTATCAAGTAACTTTTTAAAGAAGGGCTTATAATTTTATTCACTGCATTTTTGCATGTTTGATAATCACTATGTGTTCTCTTATTCATGAAGGATGGCTTGGCTGGGCATAAAATTCTTTGGTCATCCTTTCATCTCTGAAACTGTGCACATCATGAATTTTGCTATCAAATTTTTTTTTTGTTTTTTTGGGAGGGTTGGTTCAACAGTAGTTTGGGTACTATACTTTTTGAGTCCTTCCATGTTTAAACTTTAGTATTCTTGAGTCATTCTTTTCCTCAGTTGGAATCAAAATATCTTGGTTTACAGAGTATCTTTTGGATATACACGTTCAACTCTTCATTCATTTTAGGGAAATTTTTTGATATCACATCTGTGTATATGTGGATTTTATTTTACTATTTTCTTTCTGCATTATCTTCTCTTTTTCTTTTTCCTTGGGTTTTGCTATAATTATCTGAAGCTTTTTGCCTATGTCAGTTATTTGATTTTTAGCCATGTTTATTTAGCTCATCATTGTTTCTAATTTGAAATTAATTTTGTGATGGCATTATTTTGGTTCTTAGTTAATTCTATTGTTTATATTTTTGTGTTTTAGTTCTTCTTCTTCCTTCATTACACTCATGTTCTTATTAAGTTCTCTCATAACTAATTGTTTCCGTTTTTAAGGTATAACTTCCTTTCCTCCAGACTGTTTTTTTCCATTTTTCTTCCTTTTTCTCCTTTATTTTATTTTTTGCTTAATTCATTCTTTTCTTGATGTAATTTTTTTTTTAAGTTTTCCAAATACTTTCCCCCTTCATTTTCGTCTAGCTTAGGCTTAAGTGGGCTGCTCTGTCCAAATCTTCTATATATACTGGTACAATATGCGTGATTTCTCTTTGACTGCTTTTCAGCCTTTGTTTTCAGTCTGTTTTTCCTCTGAGTTTACATTTGAGGGTTCAGGTTTTTTGTTGCCTTTTCTATGAGATTCTGATAGCGATGGAGGACAGAGTATAGGTGGAGTTCTGAGCAACTTTTGTTAGAGTGGCTGGTATCCTCTCTGTCCTTTTACAATGTATTAATGTCTTACCCCGGTTTTTAAAAAAAAAATATTACGGTGTGTTTTCTTTTTTAATGAGAACTCTGAAGCCTGTGTTCTGTCAGAGAGAATCAGTCCTGATTTTTACTTTCACAGTTTTATTCTTCTCTCTTCAGCAGTCATTGGCATTATCTCCACTGAAATTATCCTCCTTATCTCCTGCCCAGGCAGAAGAGGGAAAAGTGCATGATACATCTTCAGCCCATTTCTCTCTAAAATTGGAGTATAAGCAAATATTATTAAGCATTATTTACACTTCCCAATTCCACTTCTGGGGTACGGGAACAAAATAATGTCTCACCAAACCATGTCAGACTCTTTTGTCTTTCCTTGAATACCACCTTTTGAAGTTTATGGCTAAAATATCATTTCTCTTTTCTTCTCTGTTTGCTGCCACTGAATGTTCTCCTGTTCTTAATATTTGTTTTTGTTCTTTTCACAGTTTTCCGTTTCCCCTGCTATCTTTACCCAGAAGTTCCAGTGCCAAGCATGTCATTATGAGGCATTGATGCCTTGGAATCCAGCGATTTCCTTGTTGCAAAAATCATTCCAGCAGTCCCTGAATGACCAACGATCAGGGTACTGTGGAAAGGCATTGGATTAAGGATAGCAACCAATGTAGTCTCCAAGTCCCTCCAAACTCTTAAGTTTTCATATTTCTAGTCACTTAACATTAGAGCAATTATCATTGCATTCTAGGGCAGGTCTATGCCTGGGGCTCTGTGACTCCATATCTTCCTCCTTTGCCAACCAGAGAACATGGAGGACCTCTCCCTGCTTCCTATAACTTTGACCCATTCTTACCCCAATAATCATAGAATGTAGATTTTGTAATTTGGTTACCTTAGAGGTTATTTTAATATTTGTACCATGCTTTTCCTTTTCAATGTGTTATGTTATTTTCTGTCACTTCTATAATTTATGTTTCTGGTGTTGGACTTCCTGATATTGAGATGTATTATCTGATGTGTTAGTCATCCATGTATTGTGTATTGAGAAGTATTGATTTTTTTCTATCCCCTTTGTTTCTTTTTATGATTATTAAAAAGTATCCGGGCCACAGTTGCCAGCATTAATTTCATTGTAAAACAGTTACCAGGACTTAAAAAGTATTTGTTTCAAGACCCTCAGGTACTTGGATATCTCCCAGGTCCATTGTAGTCTTTCTCAGGGCCTGGAATGTACTCCTGCCTTTGGGCAGTTACATTGAACTTCAGTTGGAATGAGGATACCATCATCAAATTGTGGGGTGATTTAGTCTGTGAGGGAGGGCCATCCTTTCAGGGACTTCAGAACTCTAAAACTTTACTTTTGGATTTCATGTTCAGAGCGTGTTGGGGAATAGCATAGGAAGTGGAACAGGACCCATAGGTATCGCTTATTTTGACCTCCAAAAATGGCAGTTTCATACAGAGCAACCCAGTAGTATCTAGGCAAGCAAATTGTTTTCTTATCCAAACTCCAACCACCAAACTCTCAAACCCAGCATCTCAAGGGACTATCAGATGCTACCAGATGCTTGTACATGTGGTCTGATTACTCCCATTGTCCCTGGAAGACATGCCAATCTGCTTTAATACACTTAGAGTGGGCACAAACCTAATATTATTATCTGGCCCACAGCTCAATGATTTTGGATCAGGAAACTTGGGAGCCTTCTCACCTATATTATAGGGAACTCTTTAGCCAGCCTTAGTTAAGCAGGATCCTTGATGGTAGTACATCCTGTTCTCCTTTGTAGCATGTATTACAAGCCAGGACCCCTCACCCCTGATTTACAGACTGATAACCACTTAATATTCATCCTTGTGGATGTTGTCTACTCTTATATCCTTCACGTTGTCTTTAATGTTCCACCTCCTGCTCTGTTAGACATTATGGTTGATCAAACAACCAGAAGTCTACTAGACCAGCATAAAGAAGTTGTGCTGCTTTGTTTTTACCTTTGAGATGTGTCCACAAGTAAAGGACCAAACTGGAAAGTCCAAAGCACTCTTTTAACATGTACTTTCATGGAAGGAGCTACGGACTGAAAAACGTTGCATTTTAACACAGATTCACCTTGATGATGGCTTTTGTATTTGTGAATACCATCATTAAGATGTTCTCAGAACATCAGGGCTTTTCCTCTGGACTCTACCATTTGTCTGGAGAAAATATCCCTCTCAGAGAAGATGCTGACAGTGCGGAAATCCAGGCAAAAACCAGAATGGGCTTATAACTTGCAGAAGTGAACCAAGCATTGTTGGACTGAGCAGATAAGTCTGAGCAGTTTCATTTTAAAAGCCTTCAGCAAATCTGAATATAATCATTGCGAAACAGACACTGATAATAAACTAATAATTTATGAATATCTGTCTTTAGGCTTGAAATTTCACTATCACTTTTTCATTTTTTCCTGATTTTTAAAAATGAATAAACTGAAATTTGAATGTGAACATGGTCACTGATCAATCTATAAGGACACCTCAAGTGACTCAGCTTAGAAAGTTACTATGAAAGTGCATTATTGCAAGAGCTCAGAACAGGACAGCACCCCTTACTTATCACCTCATAGCTAGTCCTAGTAATGTGTATTTTCTTGGGGAAACATTCTGTAATTCTTTTGCCCCTATTAGAAGTCATTTGGTTGCTTTTCCCCAGATTATTGTAAAATATTTTGCTTCTATCAATTCCTCCAAGCTTTCTGAGGCTTTTAAAAAGACCTCAGTAGAACTTTCTAGCTCCTACTTCCTCTCATTATAATACATACTTACATAATTTTGATTAAAATTTATACCTTTATTATAATGATTCTTCATAGTGTTACACTGAGTAGAAGTAATAATATTTCAAGAACTAAAAATATTTCAACTCAATAATTCATTCACTTGGCTTCTAAAAAGTGCCATCATAATAGCAATAACATGCTAGATTCTCCCTTTTGTTTGGATTAACATTGTAGTTGTGTGAAACAGAATACAACGCATTCATTTATTTTAAATAGTCAAAGAAAAGTCTTCTTTACTACTTGGTATACTATGTATTAGGAAAAACATTTCTGTTTTTATTTTTTTCTGTATATAGCAAACAGTAGAATAATGGGAGGAAAAAAACCCCTACATTTTAAATAAATATAAATTCACTATAATACATCTTTATTCTCAAATGCAAAATAAATACATTTTTCCTTATTATTTATACATTACTATGTTCTGATAAGCATATATATATACATATATATGTATATATACATATGTATATATATATATGTGTATATATATATATATACATATACAGAGAGAGAGAGAGAGAGAAAGAGAAAGAGAAGCATTAGCATAGCTTTCTTCTAAATAGCATAATACATTTTTGGTTCGATGTTTACTATTGAATGTCCAACTGAGAAAAATCGCAATAAGAAAACATGAGACCTGTGTTTTCAGGTAAATTTAATTTGGTTTTGATTCTTGATGTGTAACTGTGGGATAAGGATTTTGAACTTAAGAAAGACACCTCCTGAAAAGGCGTGCGGCATGATGCCTGGAGAAATGACTGCTATAGCTTTAAGATAAGGTAGTCTGGTGATTCATTGCACGGAGCAAGATCGATGTGGAGCAGGCTCCTACTGCTAGCCGTTTTGAAGATGGATTCTCACGCCGAAAATCACTCAATGTATTTTAGACGGCAGCAGTTTTTCCCCCTGAAATCTACCAAAACTGAAGGAAAATCCAAGTGACTGTTCTTAGCAGCTGTGTGGCCTGGAGTTCACTGGGGAAGCTGGCTTCCTGCAGTCTCCTATTCATCACCTGCTTCAAAGACAGCCTGACTGGCTATAGTTTGCAGGCCAGGTAGGGTGCCATTGTGCACAGTCTGGGAGGATTAGTATCAAAGCTGCGGCCACCAGGCCCTTGGTCTCGGGCTGCCACTCAGTCTAGCAGGGAGAGGCTAAGACTGGCCAAGGTCACAGTCTCCACTGTGGAGTGGACTGGGAAAGGATCCTGAGAATAGAGTGCTCTTTATGAAATCATGGCGCAAGCTTGCCGCACAGCAGGTGCCCTTCTGGAACACATAGCATCTGCTTTTGTGGGTATACTGTGGCCGACAACGAGATAATAGCACTTTGAAACTTACCATTTTATTTTCAGAAAGACAACTGTATATACAATAATCCAGATGCGTAGTTAGCTTCAAGCTTTTATTTGAAAATCATGAAGAAAACGGGCCGGTTTAAGTGCTGCCTTTTACATGTGTATATTTAAGCAAAAATCTAAGCGAACTGACTGTTAACCATTTATAACCATTGCTGATCAGTAATGCCCAAATTCTTGGGGAGGAGATGTCTAGCATTCAACATAATTTTTTTCAGTGTTCAGACATTTTTGTCAACAGATTGCAGAAGGATTTACTAAATTTGCCCAACTATTTTGAATATTAGGGGGTTTGGATACCCCCTACCACCACCATCAAATGAGAGTATTTCAAGGGTTAGGTAATAATGATGCAAAAATAAAATTTTCTACTTGGAAAAATTAGAGAAAAATTAAGCTGTACGTGAGTTGTCATGACGACAAGGATGTTCTGTTGATGAACTGTCCTCTTCATTGTCCAATCAGATAGTAGAGCTGAAGCTGGAGCATGAACAGGAGAAGACGCACCTATTACAGCAGCATAACGCAGAGAAGGATAGCCTAGTCCGAGACCATGAACGGGAAATTGGAAACCTGGAAAAACAGCTTCGCGCTGCCAATATGGAGCACGAAAATCAAATTCAGGAGTTCAAGAAACGAGATGCACAGGTAATTATCAATAATATTTGATAAAACGGGTATCTATGTTTAAAAAGTCATCAGCGTTTATGTTTTCCTGTTATTCTTGTTGATGCACGCTGTTTGATCATTTGTAAAACTGACATATAAATGTGATTTTTTGTTGTTTTTCCCCCCTCCCGTTTTGGGGATGAATAAAGCTCTAGCTACAGAAACCACAGGTAGCCAGATTAAAAATCCCATGGCGCGCTATAACTTGGCCCTTTTTTATCATCTTGTCTCGGTTCCTTTCAAGATGGATTTTTTTAAGGTATCTGCCCCTTACCCCTCCCCTTAGCCTTAGTAAATCCCTATGAAATATATCAGCCTCACTCCTTGCTTTTTGTTTTAATCTCTGTAGGTAATCAAGCAGCTGTTTTAATGTTTGCTTTTCCTCCCCAGTGTTGCTGTTTTTCATGAGACTATGCTTGATTAGATCATTCAGATGGTAGTTGATAAAAAGGACCCCAGAGAAAGACTCTTTCCCACCGGGTCTGTTGCTTTTTCCTGCACACACACACACGCCTCCTAGTCCCCATCTCTGTAGTCCCTGTTGGAAGCCGTTTGGCAGAATAACCCCCAGCTGTGGTAGCATTTGACTCCTCGAACTTGTGGATGAAATGGGCACTGTCAGCGTGGAAAATTATCTCTATAAATTTCAGAGGCAAAAAATCTACTGAGACTGTGTCTTGGTGGTACAATACATTCTTTAGGGTGTCTATAGTCAAGGACCTTTAGTGTATCCTCTTGGGGAGATTGCTGTGAAATTTTATTGAAGAAAAATGTAAGAGCAATTGATAACAATAAAAAGATAATGTTCCTTTCTAATAAAACCATATTGTTTACTAGGCTTAAATACCTCTTTACCCAGTGAAATCTAACATACTAACTATACCACACAAGCTTCTTCCCCTAATTATGCTTCCTCCCCAAATAATATCTTTATCAAAGAAAATAAACCTTCTGTGATACCACGTGTTTAAACAATTTATAATTATCTAAACAAAAACACACCACTAATTAAATAAGATATTAATTTTCTGAGAGGAGAGAGAGTGGTGGTAAGGCAAAGGAATAGGAATTATTGGTTATTTTTCATTTGACCTTGAGATGTCTTCTACTTTTGCAGAATAATTGATGCAATATGAATATACTCAGCACTGGGATTTTTTTGGTCAATAATATACTTTATAGTAAAATTATTTTCAATTTGTTTTATGGTGGTTTGCTACCAAAAAGGTAGTCATTGTAGTAGCAGCCATAGTGCCAGAATAGTCGGCTGGATCCTGTTAAATCAATGTGTAATACGCTTTTGCCACCAACTTCATTAGAGCCTTTGTAAAGCATGCTGGTCTTTTGAACTGTATGCTTAGTCACTTACAGTTGATTAAGAATATTTTCCAACTTATATTCTCCTTAAACCATTGTTTCCCCCGGTAAGGGATATACGTTCTGAGTCCATGTAGGATCTGTTTGCGTAGTAGAATTCAATAATGGATGCAATAAAATTCATTAATTGACATAACTTCCTACTACTTTGGTGCTGTTGTGAGAAGGTGACTCAAGTGGAGGCCAGATTTAGAGGGAGCCTTTGTGATTTTGCATATGTCGTATCTGCCATGTAGGGTGCGGTTCATCCAATCATAACAAAAGGGAAAATTTAAAACTATTACGTATAATAAAGCCACTGGAATAGTTTAATAAAGTTATTAATTGTATTTCTTCTTATTGAAATATTAAGCATGAGGACTGTATGACCTCTTCAAATGCTATAACTTAGGATTCTGTTTCTTATATCTTGTGTCTTTCTTAGAGTGTTTTGTTAGTTGAAATTGCTGTCGTGGGAATGCCAGGAAGCAATGCAAGTATAGGCTAAATGCATTCTTGGTTAAAAGAAAAATAATTTTTATGTGTGTAGAGAATATGGCATTAAAAAACTTTGACTAAATAAGTTATATTTTTAAAAAATCTTTGTATACCAAAATGCTCATAATTTCAATTTATCTTTGGTTATTTATTGAGAATGTTAATTCAAAGTTTCCTTCAGGTAAGTCTTACGTTTTCAGAATATATATTTTTATGGATGTGGTTTAAACAATCTAATTTATAATACCTTTTAAGGTCTGAAAGCCATTCACATATTTTAAGAAAACAAAGTAGACATATGATTTTCAAATAGAAGATCTTTTTTCATGTCATTGTGCTGTAGTTTGATGCAAAACAAATACATATCTTAAATGTTGGATTGTATAATTTTTAATTTTAGTTCCATAGAGACTTGATTTTCAGTACTGTTTGGCTATTCCAGTTTAGCAGTGGAGGCCATTTTGTAAAAAGGACTATTTGAAATGCTTAACTGAAAGAGAACTGGTGAAATATTTACTTTGGATACTATGGCTTTGTTTGCTTTTTCTTTTTCTTCAGTGTCTTAAATGAGGACAGTTTTCTAAAAATCTGTTTTTGGCTTCTTTCAAATATGTAGTAAATTATATGCCGATAAGAAATCATTTTTATAAGGTATAGTTATCAACCTTAAGATGAATCATACCAATTAGGAACTCTATTTTGGTGAATGTGCTTTATAGTTATTAAGGGTGAGTTGTTATTCTAATAATTTCTCTTTTACAGAACAATGATAATATATAGAAATGCAACTAAGGTTAATTAACCATTTTCTTCCTTGTATTTGGTGCAGTTCGCTAATTATTTTTGTGCATGTTGTATTTTTGTCATAGTTCTTTGATTTTTCAGTGGCAGGATACATTATGTTGTGATATTTACATTTGCTAAAATACATGTTAAATTTTACCACCATCATACAAGATGTTCAGTCTGGTGTATACCTAAGGTCATAAATGTAAGAAAAAGCATTCAGATAAGTAAAAATAAGGACACATACAAATTCATAACTTCAGTGTCAGATATTTTTCATTTTCCAGGTCCCTTTTATTGAAATTACTGTGGAGAATTATTTGATTGATTCATTCTTTTTTTTAAACATAAATAAAATGTGTACATATGATCTTAGCTTCTTGTAACATGAAGGTTCTGCATGCAATTCTTGGTTTGCTTTTGAACTGTAATATAATGAAAGAATGTTTGCAGTTTATCCTATTAAATTAGAAGAAAAATACAACACAGATTGTTTGATCTTTTACTTGTCCTTTTAGAACCCTGAATCACCTAGAGATTGCTTGATCTTTTATGTTTGTTGCCACAATGAGTGATATGTGTGAATACTGTAGAGGATGTTACTCCCTCTGTGAACTTCCCCAGAGATGGTATCACCATCTTAGGACAACTAAGTAACCTGTTGCAGTACAGACAGATCAGGGAGTAGCGGATCCAGCAGCCACTGGGAACTACCACCAGTATCATGCAATTAAATGCAGCATCCCTGGAGAAGGTTATCAGCAATCTCTGAAAATATATTGCGTTTAGCATTTGTCTGCAGTACAGTGGAACTAGCATAACGTTGGCATCTAAGCACCTGACTTGCTTCCCTGAACTGAAAATCATGATTCTAATATGAACAATTTTTATATAATATGGACAAGTCGTCTTGATTTTGTCATATGGATTCACATGAAGAGCTGAACCTATCACTGATTCTAACATGTGGACTGTGTGGTAAATCTCTTCTACTTAACCAAAAGTTTCCCCAAAAAGATAGGCAAAAATTATATCTCAATAACATTACATTATTATTCATGAGTTACCAAATATGGGCACAAGATAAAAATCTCCACTTATAAACTGGGTGTGTGCTTGCCTGCAGTGGATATGCACTATCATTCTTCAAAGATTGCTCAAAGGATAAATTTAATAACATGTGTGCTCTGAACATTATTATCATACATATATATGGGCATTGGGCTTTGGATGCATTTTTCTATTGAAAATATTTTATTCTAATTTTTTGTATGTCAACTACTTTCAGAAAGGACTTATTTTAAGGCAACAGTGTATAATAAATACACACTTAAAACAACTGAAAACAATAATTAAGCAATAGATGATATTAGCCATATTAGAAAAAATGTGCTGAAAAGAAAACTGCAGTTAAGTGCAAGTTTTAGCTCTGAGTGTGCCTAGAAGCCACAGCAAGGAGGGAAACGTGATGAATTGTGTAATTCTAATTATATAATGAGAGAAATTATAGCAGTTTTTCCCCCCAGCTTTCAGTTCTAAGAGAAATTTATGCCATGACACTTACCATAAAGGACATTGACCAATATAACTGATGATGTTCCCTGCATGTTAAAACATTTGGAAATAAAATCTAGTGGGAAACCTTAGATTCTGTAAGTATTTTCACAAAAAAATGCAATTACTAGATTTTATTTTAATGTGCTAAATTTTCATTTTAATTTATTGAGAATATTATTATTCTCAAGTCAGAAAACAAAACCACTTGGAGAAATCCTATTTTGTAGATATTATTAATCATAAGAAAGTATATTTTATTTTAAGGCCTAGTAAATTCTAGTACAGCCATATTATCACTGTGCCAGGAACGCTTGCAAAATATCTTTTGGAAGTAAAAATTAGAAACACGGCTAAGATTAGAGGTGGTTTTAGAAGTTCATTTCTACTATTAATTTCCAAGTGTGTTCCTCTTTTCCTAATATCAGATTCCCTTATTCCCTGAACTTATACTATGAAAACTATAAAAGAATAAGAAAATCAAGTGGTAATTAATTCTAGGAGTAAAAGATATTTAACCTGTACTAAAATGATTAATAGTCTACCTGTATAACCAAAGTAGTATTTCATCATCATTATTTATTCATTAATATCATTTACTGGGTTCTGAGGAAGTATATGTTTGTTTGTTTCAGTCAAACTGGACTCATCACTTGGTGAAACAAAGCTATGTAAATCTATCCCTCCCCCC